TCTGTAAAATAGAATTCATTTAATTTCATATTTGGTATGTGTCAATCAGTGACGATTCCCAGATTAAATTTGCATAATGCAAAGAAAGACATTTTTAAAAGAATCAAATTCAATCCTGAAGTGTTTAAAGAGTATAAGACGGTAGATGCCTCGCTCTTGACAGACTCTTCACTCCCTGGGGTGTCCCCAGCAACCTGGAACCTCCTGCCTCCCTCTCACCCTCCCTCCCACTGGCAGTGCTCAGAGAATAAGGCTTTCACACTCAACAGTGAGAGCTTTAAGTGTGACAATGAGGCATAGGAATAATTATCTAAATTATATAAAAACTATAACAAGGGGCTCAACCCGATCTAATAAGCAGAGTAACTAGCAAGGGAAAACCTGAAGATAATTATGCGAACGACTTGAGAGGTTTAAATACAAGTCCTTAATTAGGTGATACTTACCTGCTCCACAAGACGGCTCAGCGTTAATTGGAAGAGATGATTAGTAGCAAATACGATTCCGTATAATCAAGTCCAGCACTGTCATCTTTTCTAAATAACTTACAGCTGTAGCCCCAGATAAAGAAGAGTCTCTGAGAGAGGACCCAGTGTCTGTTTTGGGGCCATCTTCCTACTGCTCCCTAAGTTAGTTTTAAAAAGCTACCTGGCGCTCACGCTAGGAAGACAATGTCTCACCCAGAGCTTTAGTATCTCACTATCTTCTTCCTTGGTCCTCACGTTTTCACTCTTAAGAGGTATTTGAACGAACTGCCAGGGATGACATTTGGGGCATGCAATTTGGTAGGACATGGCTTGGTGCTGAGAAGAAAGGGAGGAAGGATCCTTCACTCGCTATCAGCTATGAGTGCCTCCTTCCTGGATCACTATTTCTCTGCAAAAGGAGAGAGATGCTGGATTCATTGCTATTGTACTTTCCCAGGCTCGATGCGCCTGGGAATTGAGGACAGAATACCACAAAGTGCTAGGAAAGGCTCAGAAAATGGTTCTACTAACCTAGGATGTAATGTTACAAAGACTTCCTCCTGCTTACAGCTTTTGAGTTTAATTAACCTCATCAAATAAGAGTAATTTTATAATTCTACTACAAAGTTCTCAAGACCCTTATAAAAGAGCTAGAAAAATAATAGTAATTAGCTTCCCTTCGAAACATCTCCTATAGACTACACCAAGCATACACGACAGAGAAGAAATAGAACTCATGGGGAATCCTGAGCAGCCCAGGTTTGAGAATTATCTTTGTCGTTGAATAAAGGAGGACCTCTCAGAAAACAATTTAATTTCTCTGGGCTTGATTTGCCTCATCTATAATACAGGTAGAGAGAGCGAGATTATTTAGCACTTTTTAAGCCTTTCTGAATAGAATAACTTGGCTAGCTTTTCAAATACTTAAGATGCCCAAGTTCTATCCCTGACCAATGAGGGAGACTCTCTGGGCGTGATTCGTGGCCATGGATGTTGGTAGTGGCCCACAGGCTACCGTGAGCCTCCAAGCAGAGAACCACTGCATCAATCCCCTCAAGCATCTTTGGTGACCAAAGCTCCTTGACATCCTGCTATACTGCCTATGTGATAACACACCTGCATAATGTTCCTGAGCAGATATGGTTCCCACGTGGCCCAGCACATGTTAATAAAGATTCTCTTCTCTCCAACTGAAACTTCTACCAAACGCTGGCAGATTCTGCCTCACATTGTGTCCAGACCACAATGGCATTTTGAAGACCCAAGCACCTCATCTTGGGCTGTCTTGAAGGAAAAAAATTAATGGTCTATCTTTTTTTTTCCCCAATAATAAAGGTCAAAGTTAATCTGCCCTCTATAGAGTTTTTAGAGTTAAAAACCATCTCAACTTTCAAATATTTTTGTCAGGAACAGGGATCAAAGACGTGAAGTTAGTTGACCTGTTTCATTTCAATTGTGGTGAATATTTAACCATGCCCTCCCCATCTGAAGACTGATATTCTTTAACAGACAGTAGTTGCTGACTTTTCCCTTTGTGTGCCAGTTTGTTGCGGGGTGGGAGGAGGGGAGAAGTAAGGAAGGCATAGGTTGGCACAAAACAACCATCCTGCCTGATAAAACAAGACATCTGACCGGCTGTCAGCTCTACCCCTTTGTTTAGACAGGAGACTCAGAATAATTCAAGGGCAAGTATTCGAAGTGGACAAAATGCTCATTGTGTCTGAATAGTGGGGACTCCCACTTGTTAAATATTTGGTTGTTAAAAAAAAAAAGGGAAGAAAACTGGCCCTCATTTGGCTGATTAGACTCTTAAAGAAAGGTTTGTCCTCACAGTGACTGCCATGACACCATCTAGTATAGGTGAGACCCAGTCTCAGTGTTGGCTTCAAGGGTGTGTGACCAGCATTGTCACACTGCTCAGAAAGGCAGTGCTTAGGGTTTAGTGCTCTGCACTTGCTTTCTTGGAATTCTTAACAATTTTAGCCTGGAATTTGTGTTTTGTAGGTAAAGTCTGATGGGGCAGTGGAGCCCGTGCAGAGGGCTCGGAGCCTTGGCTCACATGTGGTCCATGGTCCCACATCCGGCCTCCTGCTGCCTCCCTGGGGCAGGGGATCTTGACCATCTGCTCCCACCTCTGATGTCCTGGCCAGTCTAACCTTCCCTCCACAATGTCGCCTGGGGAAGCAATGGGGTTTTGTTCCATCCTCACCCTCCATCCCTGCCTGGGATGTGAGCACAGGCAAGGTGAGGGGTGGGTTGGGTGTTTTCCCTGCAGCATTTCAGGACAGAGCAAGAACATAGCTGTCCCTGCCTTAGGCTGGCAGGGCCCTGGTGTGTTTCACAGGTGATTCCGTGGCATATCTCACCCATACCAGATATTGAGCCTGTCCCACTACAGAGATAGCAGTTCCTTGGACTGTCGCCTGTCCACTGTGTGTTGGGGTTGTTGGCCGTGAGAAGGGGGATTGCTTTCCCTGCCCCTGCTGGAGGCCTACATTTTCATTTTACACTGGGCTCTACAAAATCATGTAGCAGACCGTGCCTAACCCAATTGCCAACAGATAGTTCTGGGTTTCACAGAGCTATGTGGGGCTTGGGGAGGGCTCACAAAGTTCGATGTCCTATGTGTTCACACTTGAAGAGCATAGTGAAAGATGTGCCTCTTCAGGTTTTTCCTCTGCCATTAAATATCATAATAAACATCCATCCTGTGGGGGCACCTTTGTGGCTCAGTCAGTTAACCATCTGACTTTGGCTCAGGTCATGATCTCATGGTTCATGAGTCTGAACCCCAGGTCAGGCTCTGTGCTGACAGTGGAGAGCCTGCTTGGGATTCTCTCTCTCTCCCTGTTTCTCTGCCCCTCCCCTACATATTCATTTATTCTCCTCCCCTCAAAATAAATAAGTAAGCTTTAAAAAAAACCCACATTTATCAGCTGTGCGACGTGGGGCACAAAGCCTCGGGTCACCATTCAAGCACTCTATGACATCACTGGGTGTGCCACTCTATGATGGTATTGTCTGCTAAGCCACCTCCTCATCTACAGCACTTGGCTTTTTTGTGGGGGCGGGAGGGGGCGGCTAGTCACTTCATTCTCAACATTATCGTATTGTATTTCCAGTGAAGAACTTGGGCCCTCCATGGATCCATTTCCATCCCTTTGCTCTTCTTCTACTAACTACTACTACTACTACTTACTATGATTCTTCTTCTTTTTTTTTTTTTTTCTTTTGAGCATTTTTCTTATAGTGTGAACTGGCATGACTTTTAATTAATGCATGGTGTGTATGGTTCCATTCCATACTGTGAATGGGAATTATGCTGAGTTGGGGACCCTTCATGACTTTGTGTAGCTGAAAACATCCCTTGGGTGGATGAGGAAGTTGCCAGATCTCCACTGCCCTTGGTTCTGTATAGGCCAAGACTAACCACCACCCCCTCCCACTTTTCCCCCAGGCTGTACCCAGCACCCTCTTCTTCCCAATACATTGCTCAAAATTGTTTTCACTCTAACGTACAGTTCAGAATTGATTTTCTTAAGGAAATACTGTGAGAATAGTGCAGTCAGCCATTCTTGGTGAAGAAAATCCTACAAGAGTGGGGAAAGATGCAAGGGGGAGGAGGAAGGCGAGAAGAGAGAGGGCAGAGGGGTGGCTCTCCTGCCCATTTTTAGACTATAACTAGTGTGGAGTGACTTCCCTTGCATTTTGCAGTATGCTTCTCGAAGCAAAATCTCCTCTCCAAACTTGGAAAACTTTGGGGTGTGCCTGAGAGCAGCTACCTCCAACTGTCCCACCCTCAACCAACTCTGTTAGAAACAAGCTTTATGAAATAGAGCATTTCTAGAATTTCTAAAAACATATGGTATGTTTTTCTCCAGGCAAAATCTGTCAGCCAAGTAGGGAGAGGTTCATGATGAAAGCTGAAATTTAGAAGCAACAACTCTTAGAAGTAAAATTTGTATTATTTCCTAAAGCCTCTTTTCCAAACAAAATGCTTCTCATATGGAGTTCTTCTACTGGGAACATTATTGAACACAGCTGCTTAGAGCAAAAGCACTCACTTTAGGTGGCAAGATCTCTGTTAGAACAGGGAAGGAAATAGTCTCGGATGATCATTTCTACCTTGAATTGAGAGAAATGCTAGTTACTAATAGGACAAAACAGAGACTTAAAGGTAAGATTTTTTTTTTAAACCAAAGGAGATAGAAAAACATGCTTTAATGGATGAGACCCAGAAAGTAAGTAATAAATAGTGGATCACTATAGAAAGCTTCTTGTTACTATTAATAATAGCAATAGTCACGGTCTGATATAGTATTAATTATTTTAAAAATCCTAGGAGGAAGGTTTTCTTTCCCCCATTCTACAGAAGAGAGAAGAAATGCACAGGGGCAAGGTCGTGAGAGCTGATTGCCCAGCCAAGACCTGGCAGAGGGGATTAAGCCCAAAGACTAAACCTCCAGCTCTTCACCACACCTTTACAGGACATGAGATAGAACTTAGGAAGCAACTGAAGGGTTTTCTGATTACCATGGCTTTGTTGGAATGGCCACCTCCTTGGAACTCAATGGTCCCAAAAGCATCCGTGGGGCTGAGTTGAGTGTGCTTGCTGATGGACCACTTCTCCGACTGGATGTCATTTCGGGAGAGGCGACTTTGATTTTTCTCATTCTGAAGAACGGAGACGCTGGGAGTGAGGCCCACATGCTGGCCAATCAGACGCCCGCAGCAACACCTGCAACATAAGAGGTCAAAGCGAACCCCCTGGATCAGCCATTACTGGAGAAATCTACAAACCATAGTGAGCCAGTCCATTCTTAGGCAGAATCCCACAATATGGCTATACCAGGCAAATAGTGAACCCAGGATTTACCCAACAGAGATCTTTTCTTTTCTGCCCATTTTCGTTTTCCTTCAGCTGTATAAGCTGTAACATGCCTCCTGGCCTTTGCCACCCACCCCTTCCACACCTGCCATACTGTTTAGGATTGGAGCCTGCAAACAAAAGTCCTATAGCTTTTTCTACTTCTCACTCCTCCCATCTATCAAATCTTGCACAAAGGCCACTGCACAGCTTTGAGGGAAGAATTTTAATATGCACATTTAAATAAGGACTCTCACTCATATGTGAGTCACAACCTAACTTGTCTTTCCCCAATTGACATTCACTGTCAAATATCCAATACTAAGAATAAAAACCTACAGCTTAAGCGTTCCTGAAATAATGGAAATATTATTTGCAAGATCTTTGAAAACAAAATTCACTACTTACATCATGAAAATGTCTTTCATACTTTTCCACCACCATTGTAATACTGATACATATGCTTCATGCTTCACTAGTACCACAATTACAACTATTAATGACAATACTGATATATGGTTATCATTTATTAAATACTAATAATATGTCATTCCTTTTAGGAGTAAAATAGTGCAGTTTTGAAGGTTAGGTAATTTGCTCAAGGTTACACAGCTAGTCTATAGGACTTTATAGTCTATATTTTAAATTACTTGATTATATGGCCTTTTCATAAAGGCATTTCCAGACAGTCATATGTTATTTCATCCCAAATGCTTCCTACCTAATATGCTGTTAATCTTTAAGGCAAAACCAGGAAGGTAAGTAGGATAGCTAAAGGTAAGATTAGTAGGATATTAAAAACGTACTTGGACAGAAATCTGAAGGTCTGCAGTCTAATTAGTAACCTTCTAGGAGTCTTTTATTTAAAAATACCTTTTCATTATGGCAGGGAATATTGGTACAAACTAAGCATTTTGATGAAATGCTTAAAAGGGAAAACGAATAACCATACTAAAAATATATATAGCCCACTTATAGACAGCGATTAATTCCTTCCCAATGGGGTATCTGTTATTTTGTACAGGCTCTTAGAGAATTAACTGCAGGTGCAACACATTATATGGTGTATACATATAAGATTGCTTCAGAGATGTCCAGCAACGATTAAAAAAAATGATCTTTAATTTGACATTGGTTCCCTTGTAATGCATTGTGATTACTATTATAGTTTTGTTCCCATAATTGCTACTCTGTGTTCTCACTTTATTATAGAGACAGCAAGATTACCTATGGGGGTCTTTGGTGCTTGGTATGATGTGAACACATTCTCTTTTATAAAATGCTCTTTCTATCCAGGATTTCTGAGCCTGAAAAAAAAAAAAAAAAAAAAAAAAGAAAAGGTGAATATAACCCACAAGTATTTTTGAGTAGGAAGCAAAAATTTCATAATTACATCATGATTCAGTATCTCATAAAGTGAATTGAAATAATAGTTCCTTCAAACATAAACACTGCATATAACAAAAACCAATGGCTGCCAGAACCTGTTGACTGGGTTAACATTATAATATTGAGTCAAAGAAAAGGACCATTATAAAAAAAATGGTTAGTGATGGAAACTTATACAGATTCTTAAAGTTTTTTTGGAGAACAGAAAAACAATGCTAGTTACGGAGATAATGAAAAACACAGAGCAGTATGCTTATATTCCTGTACCTTACAAATATTCAGCGATGGGAAGAAATATATGTGAATAAGTATGAAGTTCTCGTGGCTAACACTTCCATTCGATTTTTTTTTATACAAAGAAAGAGAAATGGTAAGAGAATTATATAACTCAAGAGCCCTAATCCATCATGATGTTTTTCCTAAAATCCAAATTAGCAGTGCTTAAATACAGAAGGGGAAAAAGGAAATGGAAACATAGGAAGATAAATGTCTTTATCACAGTCAGAAATTTCACAGGTAATGCCTTTGGAAGGAAGGAAGGAAGATAGCACTTTTTCTTTTCTTTTTATTTCCACATGTCTTTAAGTACAGGAAATACAGCTTCTTAGAATGGGCATTGTTGGGACTGTCTGCCCAGAAGTCCAGCCACTGAGATTGGTTCCCAGAAGGATAAAGGAAGTTCCAGCAAACTGTACTATCTTTGTTCCCAAGCATAGTGTCCATCATGCAGCTTTTACCAGCATTGGAAAGAGTAGAGGAGTCTCCCGTGAGATCCTATAAACTACTCAGAAGATTCCTTCTCCAAGCATTTAAGAGGGAAGTTGTTGGAGCATCCTGTAAGGTTACTTCTACATGACATCATCTTTTCTCTAACACAGTATTAGGGCTAAATTCATACCCTTGAAATATACAGGCCCAAAGTGCAACTTAGTGATTTGCTTGGCCTCAGTGACCAGTGTTGACTGTTACAAACCCACATGTGTGGCCCTAATTGACATTGACTCTGCCAAGGACCTAGACATCTGTATAAACTGTGCGAAGTTCTCATTTGCTCTCAATCCTTAGTCTTGCATCTCCCTCCTCTCTTGTGATGGGAGTCTATGTAAGCACGCAGCAGTGAAGGCCATGGTTACCTCATATGACAAAGCACATTGTAAAAGTGGCAACATGGGGGATGCCTGTGGGGTACAAAGGAGCTGCATCCTGTTTCAGTCATGGTCACAAGTGGTCACACGGTCACATTTGTCAGTGTTTATGCACTGTCTACATGAAGAGGAGCACCCGTCCTGTCTCAGAGATCCCTGGATCCAGGTGGCCCTCTGCACCTGGAAGGTGCACCTCCTCACACCTCCTCACACCAGGAGGGTAACACTTGCAGTTCTGTTTGTCAGCTAGACATGAGAAAGGCCCCAGTGTCTGTTCATGGAAATTTTTCTTCTCAAATATATAGGAAAAGCCAGTGGCTGCATCTTTGCAACAGAAATGAGCTGAATGGCGTAGATAACCAGGCTTGATCTTTGTGAAAAGCCTGTAAGTTAAACTATTCATAGGCTGTGATTTTTCCTAGACACTGAATACTTTCATTGATAACATCTCTTGGCAGACAGACGGTAAAAATATTCCTCACTGGACATTTGAAACCAACTTTCCCTACACCTCGGGGAGCAGAAAAGGGAGAGTGTAATTCCTTTCTTCTTTGTGGATCACTTTGGCTAGAATTCAGAAGGATCTTTTGGGGAAGCATCTGCAAATTTGAGGGAGTGCTAATCAATACTCCCCGAGACACAGCAGTATCATGAATACAGTGTGAGTTCTGCTGTTAGAAAAAGTGGCATGAGTGGGACTCTACAGCATGGACAAAGTCACATAATTTTGGGGGGCCTCAGTTTTTCTGATCTATTAAATGGGCACAATAATTATAGCTGACACACTGAGTTGTTAGCATTATTATTTGGGTACCATGTTTCATTTCAAGAAAAGGGACCGCTGGGTTGGTTCTGGTACTAAAAATTCTGACACATGTTCAGACAAGAGCACTATGAACCCTGCTCTAACAGAACTGACCTCGTTTGATCTCTCTCTGCCTGGAGGATGATCAGCCTAGCTGACCACTAACAAGGTATACAGAATAGTTATTGAACTTCCCTGAGTCTTTTCTGTAACATAAAGATAATTATAGCTACTTCAGAGCATTGTTGTATTTACTGAAGCACCTGATTCAGGGAGAACACCTGGAACTCAGTAGGCACTCGATACTTAATATTATGAAGGGCTCATTGTGTGCCTGGAATTGTGCCATATACATGTATCATCTCCATAGAGCCTCATAAGAATGCCATGAAGGACGTTCTACTATTATATCCATTTTACCATTGAAGAAACTGAGGCAGAGAGATGCACCAAGTTTAAACTTGGACAGTCTGACTCCAGAGTTCATACTCTTCTTACCCAGTCTGCTAAACTGCCTCTCCAAATCACACATTATTGATACTAAATACCCTTGATCTGGGCAGTGCCATCTGGGCATGCCTGGGAGCGCCTTGGTATTTGGACAGTGCTGGACTCCTAGAGGCATAGCTTAGAACCAGCTCATACTTGGATCTTTCCCTCTTTCTATCCTCACACGTAGAGTAATAAACTCTCCGCTATCTGTTCTACCTCTCCCCTTAGGATAAAGGACTGGGGTGGGAGATTAGGAAGACCGCGTAATAGGAGCAAGAAGTAAAAGAAGGAGGATCATTATAACAAATGATCCTCTAACAAAGAAATGTAATTACAACAGGATTCACAACATGAGAAGAGGGGGGACCATGGCGGATGAATTAGACTTTTCAAGGGCACCTTGATTATTTCTCTCACTCATGGATCCCAGTTTCAACTTGGATGGTCCTGCAAGTTCTACTCCGAAATAGTACATAGAGTTGCCGACTCTACTTAGTTTCTAAAAATAATGTGACTTGTTGCAGTTTAGCACCCTCATTGCCTTTTCAAAGGTGAAAAACCTACCTCACTGTTAGCAAAAGGAAGGAACATCAGTTTCCAGTTTATTACAAGCAGATTAACAATTCCCCTTGTAAAGTCATGGAAAATTGCAGGGGCAGGGGAGGAAATGTAATATAAAAAAATATCTCCAACATTCATAATTGAATTGGATTCTTTTTTTAAGAAGAAATCTATAATACATAATAGAAAGAATGCATGTAAAACACATGAATTAGGAATTCTACAAAGTATATGCATAACTGACTACGCTCTACTGTGGGCTTTGCTCTATTGTGCTTTTTATTCAGGTTTTCAGTGTGGGTAGATCTTAGATTTTTAAAGTTATTTTCTTGGAGAGGGCAAATTTGAAGTATAATCATGGTTTAACTTGTTCCCTAAACTAATTCCCTTTTCTTTTGTCCCAAGGCTTTGAACTGCTCCGTGTGAGTTTCATACTTGCCCTCGGAATCCAAGTTAGTTAGCTCAGAATGGCTATCCTTGTTGTTAGAAAGCATGAAATAGTTTTGACATGCCATGTTTCTCATTGACCCTTTAATTCTCTTCTAATGCAAAACTTCAATGGACACTACGCCCTAAAATCTTTTATTTTTAAATATCCTTCGGAAGTCTCACGTACGCTTAGAAAAGATGGCTTCTACCAGACCTTAGAAAGCCACTTTGTACGTTCTTTTCTAAAGGTAGAATGGTCACATCGCCATGACTGAGCTTGTGAAGGGCTATTTTCTTTCTTGTCTTTCTGCATTATCAGTCATGTGTGATGTGTAACAGGGAAGTGGTTTCAAAGGCTAATAATTAAAGGAAATAGTACTGAAAGCAAAAATGAGGACATTCACATTTTGAACAAAGTATAATGATTACCCTCAAAGAGTAAAGTACTAACTTTGAAAGTAAAATGTACAGTCAGTAAAGAATAAAAATGATAGAAACAAGCAAACAAAAGCTGTAAATATTGCCTTCAAAAGAAAAAAAAGATTAAGTTATTTCACTTAGGCACGTTTCAATTCTTTCTCACAAAGGCTCTGCTACAAACATTAATTCCCCAAATTCCTCTGATGCTTCTTACTTCCGACTCCCCACCAGCTCCAGAATCAAGAACTTCTCCAGGCAGGACTGGTTTACAAGCACATACATCGAGTATGTACTAAATCTTACTCAATCTGTCTCCAGAATATCTTGGAAAGTGCTACCTCAATCCACCCTAGAGCTGGGTAACTTAACAGAACGACAACAACCCAGACCAGTAACCACAAGATTAGAAGAGAAAAAAATTCACTAACTTCAGAGGAACAAATTACAAGTGAAATGTCACTATATTCCTTCTTTGGAGACTCTCCTGTTTCAAATGTACACTCTGTCCTGATCAGAACAAAACCCCAAAGACCCAAAGGTACTGCATGCCTAGGTTCATTTTTGACTTTTGCTTTCCTTCAGCATCTCCCTGGGCATTCCTTTGGTCTTCCTGCAGGCCCCCCCACCCCCATCCACTCCTGGGAGGCTGAACAAGAAGAAAACGAGCTGAAATCATTTTACCTGAGCACTGACTCTTGGGTGGCGGCAGGGACAGTCTCACGAGCGGTGCCTGTTGCTTTCATTTTGCTGCGTCTGGGGCTGGTCATCCCGTTAATAATGCTCTTATGACCGCCCACTGGAAAAAAAGCCACTTGCCCAGCTCTTCCCCCAAGAGACGTTTCAAGTAAGCAATGAACTTGGGCAGATTAGCCCCTTGGAATGTGCCGCTTTGGGATTAGCCTCACTAAGAATCCCATGGACATTCCCTTGCAGCCCTCAAATACTGCTTGATTTGAACATCTAATCTGACGCCAGAAGAAAAACAAATCCCCGGAGAGATCGGATTTAACTGGCACAAGTCCTGACAGGCTCTCCCCCCTTGGCTTTTTCCATTTTCAGAGAGAAG